AAACAGGACGGTATCTCTGTGGTATATCTGCTGCGTCCGTCTGGATGTGGTGGAATCTGACGGCTGACCGCGGTGTTTGACGGGAGTTGTGACATCAACACGATCGGCTGCCGATGGAAGGAAGTTGTTAAATGTCACCTGGAGCAGTGATGGATGATGGGACGTTAAGTACAAAATAATCTACGATCAACAACCTGACAGACAGCAGTGCAGAGAGGGAGGGAGGGGGAGGGGAGGAAACTGACGTCAATTTCTGCAGATGAAGAGTTCCTCCATCGGTTCTCTGATCAGAACCGGCCTCAACCAGAACCCTCTGTCCTCGGGCTCCACATCGTCACGAGCTTCTGTTCTGAAACAGACAGGAAACCACGTTCAAAACCAGAGTTAATTACATTGTAACATATATTTGATATATTTCTACCCAGGACAGAAGTCTTCACGACGATCCGTCTGAGAGACGGCGCAGGAACTCCGGGTTCCGCTCGGGTTCTTCAGATTGAAAAGTGATTATTTCGTCAGGATTATTTGCTTTTTCTGCTCAGAAAACAAAGTTCAAACTCAGTCTGTGGAAAAAACCGAACATGTTTTATTTTCATCAAACATCATTTTCTGAGTTTCTGCCGTGAAAACAACCAGAAGTCGTTCAAATCTTCTGGAACTTTTTTTTTTTTTTTTAATAAACTCCATTTCACTCAGACGTCACTTTTAATTCACCAACCATCGATACACACGCTGTACAGTTGTCACACTGTTGTAGCTACACTGAGAACTGACGACAGGAGTTACAAAGGAATTGAACCCCCGCCCCAGAAACCTTTCAGTCAGTTTTTTTTTTTTTTTTCAAATCCTCTGTCGGGTCAGGCAGCGACGTGACCTGAAGGTAAAGGTGGAAATGAGTCGAGAGTACGCTGACCCCTACAGGTTGCAGACCCCCCCTCCACCCCCACCCCCCGGTGAAGACCTGTTGTATAGAACATGCATTTATAAAAACAATTTTAGAAAAGAGTGTGAAGGTGGTGTTCGATGGGCGGAGTCGGTCGTCTTCACGACATGTGGACCGCGTGGTCGACGGTTCGTCCGATCAGACTGTAAACGAAGACGATGCTAATGAAATGTTGTCGTGGTTCGTTTGTTAACACATTTACAACGATGTGGAATTTCATTCAGAGCAAAAGGAACAGAAGTGACGCCTCGACCGTCCTAGGATAAAAGTCGCACGAGCCGACGGCACGGTGATCGCAGCTGGGGTTTTTGTTCTGGATATAAATGCCACTTTTATCCATCAAATATTTTATAATGATTTGTCTCACTGACAGAACACACGCGAAGGATTGGCTTCATTTCCAGACGGAGTTTCCACGACACTCGTACCTCATCGCCCCCTGTCAGACGGAGGCGGATTAGCATTTAAAAAACACGCAGAGCTCCAAACGGACGAGACGAGTGTCGGCGTCGCTCCACCTTCACCTGACGGAGGCTCATGTTGGGTTGACCTACTAACCAAGGTGTAGCTACAATTAAAAAAAAAACAAAACTCTTCAGTGACGACTGAGTTCGCAGCAGCAGCTAGCATGAAAAACCTCGGGCTAATTACTGTGAAACATCACAGAGCGTCACAGTAGGACGTGAGCGTCGGTGTCAGTGATTCTTCATTAACATTTTTCTTCAAGCCAGCACCTACTGGTCAATAGAGGTACTGCAGTCTGCGTATGTCAGTGACACTCGACTGTCTTCAGTCTGTGGTTTTTTTTTTCCGTCTGTCGCTCCAGGATCTTCAGAGAAGCAGAGTAGATGACGGACTGACGGTCTGTGGTTCTCAAAGTCAATGAAGTGGTCTCAACATAAGGTCACCTCTCCTCAGGAGAAGCCGACCACAGAAGGTCGTACCTTCAAATAGCGCCCCCCCCAGCGTGCCCCGGCGTCACAGGCCGAGGGTTAGCATGACATCGTTACAAAGACATGAATTGATTATTTACATTATTGAACAGAGAACGTCAACACGTCCACGTTGATCGTTTTCACATCGTACAGAAAAAGCAACAGTAAAGACGACAATGTGCAGAAACGTGTCCACCTGCTGCACAGCGCCACCTGTCCACCGAGGCGGCAGCT